TGGTGGTATGGATGAGCTGTCTGGGGTTTGTGACCTCTCAGAATGAGAGATTAACCTGCCGTATTCATCTGTGATTAGTCAGAGAAGAGACTGAGCTCCTATTGGGCTAGCATTAGTTTGCTGTGAGCATACACTTCGCTATGTATTTATTTGGACAGTGTAGCTAAACCTTTTAATTTGGCTCTATACTCCAGCATTTTGGATTTGAGATCAAATGTTTTATGAGGCAACAGTACAAAATGTCACCTTTTATTTGAGGGTATTTTCATACATAGCTGTTTTACCGTTTTGGAAATGAAAGCACTTTATGTACAGTGGGGAGAACAAGTATTTGATCCACTGCCGATTTTGCAGGTTTTCCTACTTACAAAGCATGTAGAGGTCTGTAATTTTTATCATAGGTACACTTCAACTGTGAGAGATGGAATCTAAAACAAAAATCCAGAAAATCACATTGTATGATTTTTAAGTAATTCATTTGCATTTTATTGCATGACATAAGTATTTGATCACCTACCAACCAGTAAGAATTCCGGCTCTCACAGACCTGTTAGTTTTTCTTTAAGAAGCCCTCCTGTTCTCCACTCATTACCTGTATTAACTGCACCTGTTTGAACTCGTTACCTGTATAAAAGACACCTGTCCACACACTCAATCCAACAGACTCCAACCTCTCCACAATGGCCAAGACCAGAGAGCTGTGTAAGGACATCAGGTACAATTGTAGACCTGCACAAGGCTGGGATGGGCTACAGGACAATAGGCAAGCTGCTTGGTGAGAAGGCAACAACTGTTGCCGCAATTATTCGAAAATGGAAGAAGTTCAAGATGACGGTCAATCACCCTCGGTCTGGGGCGCCATGCAAGATCTCACCTCGTGGGGCATCAATGATCATGAGGAAGGTGATTGATCAGCCCAGAACTACACGGCAGGACCTGGTCAATGACCTGAAGAGAGCTGGGACCACAGTCTCAAAGAAAACCATTAGTAACACACTACGCCGTCATGGATTAAAATCCTGCAGCGCACGCAAGGTCCCCCTGCTCAAGCCAGCGCATGTCCAGGCCCGTATGAAGTTTGCCAATGACCATCTGGATGATCCAGAGGAGGAATGGGAGAAGGTCATGTGGTCTGATGAGACAAAAATATAGCTTTTTGGTCTAAACTCCACTCGCCGTGTTTGGAGGAAGAAGAAGGATGAGTACAACCCCAAGAACACCATCCCAACCGTGAAGCATGGAGGTGGAAACATCATTCTTTGGGGATGCTTTTCTGCAAAGGGGACAGGACGACTGCACCGTATTGAGGGGAGGATGGATGGGGCCATGTATCACGAGATCTTGGCCAACAACCTCCTTCCCTCAGTAAGAGCATTGAAGATGGGTCGTGGCTGGGTCTTCCAGCATGACAACGACCCGAAACACACAGCCAGGGCAACTAAGGAGTGGCTCCGTAAGAAGCATCTCAAGGTCCTGGAGTGGCTTAGCCAGGCTCCAGACCTTAACCCAATAGAAAATCTTTGGAGGGAGCTGAAAGTCTGTATTGCCCAGCGACAGCCCCGAAACCTGAAGGATCTGGAGAAGGTCTGTATGGAGGAGTGGGCCAAAATCCCTGCTGCAGTGTGTGCAAACCTGGTCAAGACCTACAGGAAACGTATGATCTCTGTAATTGCAAACAAAGGTTTCAGTCGTCCTTCCAAATATTAAGTTCTGCTTTTCTGATGTATCAAAGACTTATGTCATGCAATAACATGCAAATTCATTACTTAAAAATCATACAATGTGATTTTCTGGATTTTTAAAAATTACAGACCTCTACATGCTTTGTAAGTAGGAAAACCTGCAAAATCGGCAGTGTATCAAATACTTGTTCTCCCCACTGTATCTATTCCCCCCATTTGAAGGTGTCAAGTATTTGGACAACTTATAGTGTATTACATTTAGTCAAACGTTTAGTATTTGGTCCCATATTCCTAGCATGCAACGACTACATCAAGCTTGTGACTCTACAAACTTGTTGGATGCATTTGCAGTTTGTTTTGGTTGTGTTTCGGATTATGTTGTGCCCAATAGAAATATATGGTAAATAATGTATTGTGTCATTTTGGAGTAACTTTTATTGTAAATAAGAATATAATATGTTTCTAAACACTTACATTAATGTGGATACTGCTATGATTAAGGATAATCCTGAATGTATTGTGAATAATGATGAATGAGAACGTTACAGAGGCATAAATATCATACCCCCCAAAAAATGCTAACCTCCCATGTTAGCATGTTTTGGGGGCATCTGTAACTTTCTCACTCATCGTTATTCACGATTCATTCATGATTATCTGTAATCATGTTAGCCTCCACATTCTGTACTGTCGCCTCTATTAAGTAATTTGTTCTCAAATCCAAAAGGCTGGAGTATAGAGACAAATTAAAAGTTTTAACTTCACTGTCCAAATAAATATGTAGGGGAGTGTAGCTGCCTCTATCCACACTGTTGCGATAGTATTAGCTGTTAGCATGGCTACCCCATGCTATAGGCCACCTTGGTGCCTCTTCTCTGATTAGCTTTGTGTTTGCTACCGTATCCCAGCCCCCGTCCCCGCAGGAGGCCTTTGTTCTTAATTGACTTGCCTAGTTAAATTAAGGTTAAATAAATATATAAAATGAATAGCTGTTGCTGTGGCTGCATTACTAGCTGCAGTTAGCTATTAGCTGTTAGCCGATAGCTGCGATAGCTGCTTGCAGTTGCTGTATCTGGGATTACCCAGCTGCAGTTAGCTGTTAGCCGTTAGCCATTGCTGTGGATTACCTGCAGACTGTTTACGGTGCGCTTAACAACTTCCCTGCTGGAGAGTCATTAGATAATGGTTATGCTGCCCTACAAAGACCAGAGCTAACCCTAATCCCATTCCTCACAGGAGAGAGCTAGCTCTGAGGTGGAGGCTGTGCCACTGTCAAGATCAACTGGCAACGCTATGGTAGCCTAAACATAACTTAAAAGGTTACCTAAAAGGTTAGGTCTTCATAAAAAAAAGGTATTTATTGGTCATTAACTGTATCAAAAGGGTTGCCTATTCATCTGACTGACTCATTTGCTAGTAATTTATAGCCTTCCTCAGACATAGGCGTACAAGGGGAAGTGGATAGACATAAGGCACAGAGCATTACGAGGTGTTTCACATTCAGGTGTTGTACTGTGCAGACCAGTGGATATTTAGGGTTACCAAACTAGTTCTCGGTTCCTCTCTGGTGGCAGCAGTCAGTCAATCATTCACCTGTCTCAGATCATGATCATGAAAAGATTCGGCATGGGTCCTCAGATCCTCAAAAAATTATACAGCTGCACCATCGAGAGCATCCTGACTGGTTGCATCACCGCCTGGTATGGCAACTGCTTGGCCTCCGACCGCAAGGCACTACAGAGGGTAGTGCGTACGGCCCAGTACATCACTGGGGCCAAGCTTCCTGCCATCCAGGACCTCTATACCAGGCGGTGTCAGAGGAAGGCCCTCAAAATTGTCAAAGACTCCAGCCACCCTAGTCATAGACTGTTCTCTCTGCTACCGCACGGTAAGCGGTACCGGAGTGCCAAGTCTAGGTCCAAAAGACTTCTCAACAGCTTCTACCCCCAAGCCATAAGACTCCTGAACAGCTAATCATGGCTACCCGGACTATTTGCACTGCCCCCCCACCCCATCTTTTTACGCTGCTGCTACTCTGTTAATTATTTATGCATAGTCACTTTAACTCTACCCACATGTACATATTACTTCAACTACCTCAACTAGCCGGTGCCCCCGCACATTGACTCTGCACCGGTACCCCCCTGTATATATAGCCTCCCTACTGTTATTTTATTTTACTTCTGCTCTTTTTTTCTCAACACTTTTTTGTTGTTGTTTTATTTTACTTTTTTATTAAAAATAAATGCACTGTTGGTTAAGGGCTGTAAGTAAGCATTTCACTGTAATGTCTGCACCTGTTGTATTCGGCGCATGTGGCCAATACAATTTGATTTGATTTGATTTGATGTCCATCCTTTCCTGAAGCTGTCTCTGTGACATTCAATAAACACATTAGTGACCCTCAAAATGACAATGCCAACAGACATGTACACCTCTCGCTCATAATGCTCACTGCTTACATATTTGCATGAAGAAATATTTTCGACAAGTACTTTTCTGAATTCCAGAGAAGGGCGAGTTTGGAGTTGTTCTTGGGTTGATTTGAAGGTGTGACCGAGGATTATTGTTTTGTGTATTACTTCTTTCAACAAGTCATGGCATAACATGTAGGCTAGTGATTACTACCCTACAGTACAGCAGAATGTCAACAATGTTTGGTTATTGTTGGCAGAGGATACTAAAGGTTGTAGAAAGATGCAGGATCTTGCCTGTTCCCCTTAAATAAAACAATTCTAACCATTGTATGCAAATAAATACAAAGTTATTGGATTGGATTCTATCGAATATTGACTGTTTTGCAAGAGAGAAGTATTTGATGTCACTCATTCAGAGCTTGAATTTGAATCGGCTATGTGACCTTATTCACATAGATACCACAATGAACTGTCTTTTGGGTTTAGGGGGAGGGGTAGACTATATGGAGAGAGCAAGGGACTGCATGACAAAGACAAGTGTGCAGCCAAAGTTTTAGTTCCTGCATATCTTTATTTTGCAATCTTCAGCCAAGTTAGCGAACAACAGCAATACTACCTATTGCTACCTTCCTTTTACCCTCTCTTGATTTCCTTCTGACACATTTGATACTGAGCGATAGATCTACACGTACAGTTCAGTGACTGTATAAAGCACTGAAGTGAGGGGATAACTCTCCTCCTGTTTCTCTCTCTGCTGCTTGTCACAAATCTTATCACTGTCATCTCTACAATGGCTGCCATAGTTTTGATTGCTTACTGACATGCTTTAAAGTGAAATAGAGAGGGTTGAGAAAGGTGTAACTTGGGACAATTAAGGGAGAGGGAGAGAAAGTTGTTAAGGATGTATTTGTTTGGAGTGGAGGGGAAAAGGAGAAGAGGTGAGAGGAGAGGAGAAGCAGCGGGAGATGGAGAGACGTTATAACTTGGCTGTGAAGGTACAAAATAGAGGTAGAGAAAAACAGTGTAAATTAACTTGGTTGTAAAAGGAATATGGGGACAGAGAGAGAGTTGGCCAGGGTTCTGTATTAGTTGGGAGTGTCCCTCCACTGACGTCCCCCTTTCTGGTCTCAGAAGTAAAGAATGTTGGGCAGGCCAGTCAGGGCTGTGTGTGGAGACTGTTGGGCCAGGCAGGACTATGGAATGCTGTCAGCGCTGAGTAAATCAACAGAGCATGCTCACTGGGCAATCTGCTGTAGACGTCAGGGAAAGCAACCAATTCAGCGTGTCAATAGTGACAGATCGCTTCCAGTGTGAGGCAGGCTGTAATTCACAAGCAAAACATATTCCGTACACACACACATATGCGAACACACACACACACACACACACACAAACACACACTGTCTCTTTAGCTCTGTCTTTCACACACATTCACCCCCTCTCGCACTCTCTCTGCTCTCTCACTCTCTCACTGCTCCCTCGCACTCTCTCTGCTCCCCCCCCCCCCCCTTCTCTGTAAGTTCTCTGTTTCGCTGTAGCTGCGTGAGGCAGAGTGGTAGTTCTCCTTTGGTAGTTCTCCTTTGTTGAGAGAGCGAGAGAGAGAGAGAGCAGTCCTACTACTGCATTATTAACATGATGTTGCTATAGGGCTATTTATAGTGTGTGTGTGTGTGTGTGTGTGTGTCCTCTGACACTAAGCTTTGCCTCCTTACATGAGATGATGATGATGATGATGATGATGATGATGATGATGATGATGATGAAATCACTTTGCAACATAAAAGTACCGTCAAAACTTTTCAAACCAGTAAAACCCCTGAAACAGATAAGTGTTCAGTTTTCAAAGGGTACAGAGGAAAATGCTTATTTGAGGTGGTTATGATGTTATAATATTTTACATTAGGTGATACATTGGTTCACATTTACAGTGAAATGTAAAAAGTTGTTTTGCTAATGCCAAAGCTGAACTCCAATAGAAGAGTGCTGACTTAGCCGGTCTCTCTTTTGTGGAGGAAAAGTGCAAAGGGAGGATATCACAGTGTTCACACCTTGGGTGAAGAACTGTTTCACATTGCACTTTTCACCTAGTGAAATGCTGCATCAGACCTCTGTGTGTCAATGATGGTCCTCTGTAGGCCTGCTTGCCCCCTCTCTTTCTCTCTCTCTCTCTCTCTCTCTCTCTTTCTCTCTCTCTCTCTCTCTCTCTTTCTCTCTCTCTCTCTGTCTCTCACTCACTCACTCTCTCTCTGTGTTTCTCTCTCTCTGTTTGTGTCTCCCTCTGTCTCTGATGCGTTGGCCTTTGGCCAGGATACTGTCTGTCTAGCATGTTAGGTCCCACCCACTTCTGCAAGTCAGAAATGTGAGCTGGGTTCATTTTTTTTCTCCTTCCTCCCCGCTAGCTAAGTATCTGTGGTGCTGTCTGTGTGTCTGAGAGAGAGAGCAAGAGAGAGTTTGTGTGTGTGTATATCTACGTGCCTGTGTTTGTATGCGCGATGGGAGCTTCAGGGGCAGTGCAATGGATCACTAGTGAATAAAAACAGGAGGCATCAATAACAACATCACACGACAGAGGTGAGGAGGAGTTGTATCTCTCTCTCTCTCTCTCTCTCTCTCTCTCTCTCTCTCTCTCTCTCTCTCTCTCTCTCTCTATCTCTCCCTGTTTCTACCCCTCTCATTCTCTGACTCTTTCCATTTCCCTCTCTTTCTCCTCTTTCCCTCCCTCCTCTCCCTTCTCTCTCTCTCCCTCCTTTCCTACCTCCCTCCATCCTGTCATCTGTGGAGCCAGTTAGAGCTGGTAGCAGGTACAGCAGGAGGCAGGAACCCATTACTACGGCGCAAGCTCTCTGATTGGCTGAGCCGGGGAGACCGGGAGACTGCTTCTAAATAATAGATGTGCATTGTGCCGACACTGGACAGGAAGGAGAGAGAGAGAGAGAGAGAGGAACAGAGAGAAGGGGAGGGAAAACAGAGGCAAAAGGAAGAGGGAGAGACAACAGGGAGAAAGAGAGAGCGAATGAGAGTGAGAGAGAGAGCGAGAAAAGGGGGAAACAGAGATAGAGAAGGGGAGGGGAAATGGAGAGAGGAGGAAGAGGGAGAGAGACAGCCGAGAGAGAAAAAGCAAAAACAGAGTGAAAGATAATAGAGGAGGAAAAAGAAAAGAAGCTGGAGCGTTGCCACTGTGGCCTCTGTGGGAGCTTAGCAGTGTTCTGACATCAGAGCCTTCTCTCTCTCCCTGTGCTATGACGACAATTAGATGAGACACACTGGGACTTTTCTTGACTCTGGGTAAGTCTGAGAGCAGTGTGTGAATGTGTGTCTCTGTCCGAATACCCGTATTGAGTTTGCTTTAAATGCCAGAATGTCATACTAATTTAGGCTTTTCATCTAGTAGAGTTTGCTGCACACTATTGAGGAAGTAAATCGTCTTTCGAGACCCACGTGTGTCTGACAACAGCTGATAATCAGCTGATGGGACACACTGTACCAAAACGAATGAGTGGCGGGAATCAACGCAGTTGCGCATTAGATGATGCATTCTGAGTAGGATAAGTCTAGCATGTTGATATTTGTTGCTTACTGCATCGTTGTTACTAAACAGTACGTTCTAAATAGCATGTGGTATGATTAGTGGGGTCGTTCCATGAAATGAGTTCCTTTTGCGTCCCTTTGATATTTTAAGTGGAAATTCTGCACCAAAAAAAAATAATGAAAACATGTTATATTAAATGAAGTGCCCTTTAATATAGACCACATGGAAAATTCAATAAATCTGATTTTGAATATGAATAAAGACTTTTTGGCCATTTTCAAAACTGAGCAGGTCGAGCATAACACGTCAACCCTGTTACCCAGGCTAGAAATGTTTAGTGAAGCTTGCATTCAATTGCCCATCCCTGTTGCACACAACAAGCTTCCATTTCCCCTGTCACAAGTGGATTTATGGCTTATTTAAGATGAAGTCATCAACCCTGTTACAGTCAGCCATGTTACTTTATTTGGCACTTAATAAGCACTTACTATAGTATTTGTATTTATTTAACATGAGATGGGAAGTCTTTTTTATTAAGTTGAACATGTGCTCTTGACAGAATGTTAAACATGTGCTCTTGACAGAATGTTAAAATTAGGTGAAATAACTTTTTTTTACAAAGTTACACTACTCAAAAGGCACCTAATTAGTGGAACGACCCAGTATACAGGATGCAGTTTAGGTAAGTAGTAGGCAAGCCAGATTTCGGACATGGCCTGTTTGTGTGTGTGTGTGTGTGTGTGTGTGTGTGTGTGTGTGTGTGTGTGTGTGTGTGTGTGTGTGTGTGTGTGTGTGTGCGCCCCACGTGTGAGCGTATCTGTGAGTTGAGCTGTCTGCTTGAAGAGATATCGGAAGGTATTTGTATTTGTTCATGGTTCTGTGGTGTGTGTTTGCATGTGTGTATCTGATATTATGTGTGTGTATGCATGTGTGTGTCAGGCAATCCCAGTCTGGCTTTGGGTTTAAGTAGGGTCCCCTGCTGTGGCTCGAGATAAAAGGAGGGTTTTGGGTCTGAAAGCATAGAAAGATTTAGACTGACTAGAATGGACACTCCTGATGGCTTCATTGATGGGAAACTTTGGAATTAGATGTTCTCTCTCCATGTTTTAAAACGTATCCATGTTTTCCAACTCAGAACATGCATGTTTGTTTCCACTATTCTAAATGCAACAATGTAAAATCCTAATGCACGGCAAAATGAGTGTGATTCATTATCAAATGTAGACCTTTTTCTTTTCTAGTGGATGTACAGTATATCTATGTCTGGGAGTGGTTCCAGGAGACTATGTCTTGGAGCATGACTGCAGCCTAGCAGCACTGCACAGGACAGACAGAGAAATATCAGCTGACCAGGGCTTGACCTACTTGGGCCGCAGTTTGACGCACGCACGCACACACACACACACACACACACACACACACTTGGGCCACAGTTTGACTCACTGACCTGCACTCTGCATCAGAGAGACTGGCTGCTCGTCCAGTAAGATTGTGTAGTACTGGGAGCTCGTCCAGTAAGATTGTGTAGTACTGGGAGCTCGTCCAGTAAGATTGTGTAGTACTGGCTGCTTGTCCAGTAAGATTGTGTAGTACTGGCCGCTCGTCCAGTAAGATTGTGTAGTACTGGGAAGACAGTGGGGGATTCATTAAGACACACAGGGTGCAGTTCCCAGTGAACTATGTTGATATGTTGAGCTGCATTGTTGTCTGTTTCCTGTACATCTAATGTGCTCTATGTCTAACCACTGCAACCCCCACCATCCTCACAGCTAGTGCGTGTGTGTGTGTGTGTGTGTGTGTGTGTGTGTGTGTGTGTGTGTGTGTGTCTGTGTCTGTGTCTGTGTGTGTGACCACCCTGTTTCCTCTTCTGTAAGAAGCCTAGGCTGCTGATTTAAAGGGATACTTCAGGATTTTGGCAATGAGGCCCTTTATCTACTTCCCCAGAGTCAGATGAACTAGTGCAGTTTGAAGGAAGTTGCTAATTAGCGCTAGCACAATTGATAACTAGTGTTAGCGCAATGTCTGGAAGTCTATGGGCATGCTAGCAGATACCCAAAGACTTCCAGTCATTGTGCTAATGTTAGTTAGCATTGACTCGCAAAACGACCTCTAATTTCCTTCATACTCGACACAGAGACATAAAAATGGTATCCACAAGTTCATCTGTCATTGCCCAAATCCCGAAGTATCCCTTTAATACTCACACAGTTACTGTTCTCAACAATAGCCTCAGGCTATTGTCAATCGTATCCATCTAATGTGTTCTATTAGATGGATAAGGGATGTAGCTCAGTTGATAGAGCATGGCGTTTGCAACGCCAGGGTTGTGGGTTCGATTCCCACAGGGGGTATGAAAAAAAGAATGAAAAAAAAGAAGAAAAAAAAAGTATAATAATAATGTGACTAAACTGTAAGTCGCTCTGGATAAGAGCATCTGCTAAATGACTTAAATGTAAATGTAAATGTTCTAACCACTGAAACCTCCAGGATCCTAACAGCTAGTGCACGTGTGTGTGAGTCTAAAGTTACAGTGCTGTGAAAATGCTGTAGTGCAGATGGGAAGGTCCTGACCCCAGGGTTAGTGATTGGACAAGGACATACTTCTAATCATAGTGTATCATGGGTAATTCCTGGCAGAGCTTCATATTTCATTATCTTAATTGTCTGAATGCAGGTCAGATACTGTACACAGGTCATTACCCCTATGCCTTCACTCTAGGCTACATCTTAATCTGGAAACTAGCGTGATTTAATCCTATCTGTGTGCCCTCTAAAGAGCAAAAAACGTATTGTATTGAAGTCAACCAGAATAAATCCTAATGTATTTTTATTTTTCTACATAGGGCATCATCCATCATGGCTCTCCACCTCTCTACATATCTTTGTGGGGTCAAGAATGCATTTCAGACAAATATATTGATTTGGTAGGACTACAGTAGTCTTAATCTCTATCACTACAGAACTATGACTTTATTCTTCTTTGCCTTTTTAAAGAGCATAGTGCAAGGCTATCCATCTCTCTGGATCTCTTTGTCAGTCAAGTATTCATATCAAATGCATATAAAACAAATGTATATATTTATATAGTCTGACCGTATAGGGTGGAAGGGAAGGCTCTTTGCGAGTGATTGGCTTACATGAGCCTACGTTTTTTTTCATAGGCGAGCCTAACTTTTGTTTTGTTTGTGTGTTTATTTTGAGCCTCGATTGTTTGTGGGTTTGGTGCCATGGCCACACACATAGGGATACAAGACACAGAAATTGCAGACTGCACGTTTAACTTGACTGTTGCTGCTGCATTTTGTGTTTTGTTCGTGATTAACCCCTCCCTCCCCAGTAAAATGTGTAATTTGAACCCTACAGAAACCAACACCTGCAGGAGATGTCAGAGTGACTCAGGTAGCTAAACTCGCTCCATCCCTCCCTCCATCCATCCCTCTCTGGCTCCAGCATCCGACCGCTTGTCGTTACTCCATCTCCACCTCTCCATCTGTATGCTCTGTATGCTCACAGAGGCCAAATCAAACTCGCACTATGAGAAAACCTGAACAGACAGTTTATAAAATGAATGTGATTATTTACCCTGTGCCGGTTTTTCCTGAAGTGTGGTTTTGATTGAATCTGCCCCAGAGTCATGGAGAGAGATTATAAACCCATTGGATGTGCTTCTGGTTGGGCAGAGGCTAGCAGAGTGGAGTGGAGGGGGGGTCATTAGCTGGGAAGGATATCATTGGCTGCTAAATGGGTTCCATTACGGTTTTGCAGAAGCATGACTTTGTCTACATCCCAAATGGCACCCGATTTTCTTTTAAGGGCACTTCTTTTGACCAGGGCCCATAGGGCTCTGGTCAAAAGGAGTGCACTACATAGGGAATAGGGTTCCATTTGGGATGCCGCCTTTTGATTTCAAGAGGATTTGATACCCTCTCCATATTTCTTATTTTGCATACATTATCCTGCCCACATTACACAGCATACTGGCTGGAGCTTATATAGATTATGATTTTATAGAAATAGCTTATTTTTGTCTTGTATCACACATTGTATGTGTATAGGCTTCTGACAATGCGTGTATAGACGTCCAATGTACGGTTTTCATGTTCTGAGAAAGTGTACTGTCTCATATCTGTGTGTACTATATAGTACTACCTCTATCTGTAGTGTACGTGAGCTGATCTGCATGTGTGTCTATATCAGAGTGTTGTGAGTAATGTGGGCTGCACAGTCAAGCCTGTAATATAGACTAGTCTGTGACATCACTGCTTTCTGCATTCATCCATACTGTAAGTTCAGTGGAAATGTGTGGTATGGTCTTTTAAACTTGCTGTTTATTATACAGAAGTGCTGAGATATTGCAGTGTCAACAGCAGAGAGAAAGATATAATGATGTCGTCATGTACCTTTAAGTGTAGAAGAGGAGACTATCCACTAGCTAAATCACCTGAGTCATCCATCCTGTGTGAACAGCAGGAAGTGTAACCCGGGGCAACAGGCTGCTGTTTCCATTAACTAATGATAGAGGGCAAGTCCTCCATTACAAGGAAACTCCCAATGCTAATTACTGTAGAGCAGAGAGAGAAAGAAAGAGTGAAAGAGAGACTGAGTGACAGAGAGACTGAGTGACAGAGAGAGAGAGAGAGAGAGGGGGGGGGGGGGGGGGGGGGGGGGGGTTGGGGTTAGGGTGGGGGGGGACTAGCAGAGTACTTAACCCTTGCGTGACTACTTTTGACCAGAACTCTATGGGTGTAAATAGCAGTTTGCCACGTCTTACGACAGGCTGGGCGTATGGAGGGAGGACGGAGGTGGTGATTAAGTGGGGAGATAAGCTCTCTGTAAATTGGCACGGGTGTGGAATCAATTCCACTTTAAAGTGGAGGGGCTGAGTCTCTCCCTCCATCTGGGCTCTTTGGCAGCATCTCTGCTTGGGAGCCGTGAGAACGGTCCTGCTCCAGAGATTGGGGTATCACGTGTGGCATCAGTCTGCTCTGACTGTGGTTCCAACTCTCCTGTCGTGGCGTTCGATTTCTTCTCATCTATTCTCTTCGGGTCTCTCTCTCCCCTCCTCTGATGTCATTTTTTTTGTTTTTTTTTTGTTGTCATTTTTAGGCAGACATTAAGCAGACATTTGTGTCATATGGCTCAATTAAGGCTTTGCTGTTCGATCTCAAACTACCTTTTGAGCTTATTTTCTGTGTTAAGATGTTAGACATTAAGTCAATAACTCTTCTTATGTACAGTACATCATACACCATTCATAATGATATTTGCCTGCCGGCATGGTGCAGCAGACAGTTACCTGCATTGAAAATGACTGAGGACGCTGAGCATTCTGATTAGTCATTGGGGTCGAGTGGAGGGTAGGAAGAGGGGGTGAAAGAAAGTAGGATTGGGAAATGGAGGTAGGCTGAGGTAAGGGAGGGGATGAGAGGATGGGTTTTATGACCTTTGAGTGCAGGGTCTCAAGCGACTCTCCTCCTCAGAGTCTCGCAATCTATCGAATAAACTCTCCATCCGTGTAGGAGCTCAGTCTGCCATCTCCCATCTCTCTCTCCTCTCATCATCGTCCTCTCCTCTCTCTCTCTCTCTCTCTCCTCTCTCTATCTTTCCCCCATCTCTCTCCCCCTCCCCCTCTCGCTCTCTCGCTCTGCAATTTACCCGTCCTCTTCAGAAAGCCAACAGGGGACTCTCTTCTAGAGGGATCAGAGCTGATGTACTGCAGATAAACACTGTGTGATTCATTCCATCAGTCACTGAGATCTACACTTGCAGACAGACAGCAACAGACAGGCTGGGATTACTGTGTTAGGGTGCCTCAATATGGCAGGAGGCAGAACTGCAGTCCAACTTGAAGAGTGAGAGGCAGCACTCAAATGTAGTGGGCAGAACATAGTCAGATAGTTGATTAATCAAGTGAGATATTTTTGATCAAGGAATTTTGATGGGCAATTGTTTGTTTGTTTTTCTGATGGCAGAAGTGGCTGTGGAGACATTCAGAGAGTCCAAATCATGTTGCTGAAGTAGTCAGGAAAACAATATCATAGGATCCCATGTTTGGTAATAGAAACTGACTTACTTCAAACTGACATACTGGAGACATACCAGAGACTGTTTTAGCAGACCGACAGACTAGTTAAAGTTTGAAGTTGTATGTGTAGACCGACCTGTGTGTGTGTTTCCTACGTTATTAGACTGACACATGAGTGTGTGTGTGTGTGTGTGTGTGTTTCTTTCCCGTAGCCCTGTTGTCATCGTGGTGCGAGGAGCTGGGTCGCCTCCTGCTGTTGCGTCACCAGAAGAGCAGACAGAACGAGCCCCCGCAGGGCAAAGTCCCCATGCAGCCCAGCATAAACACCATGAAACCCCCCGGAGGACTCTCACATGGGTCAGTGTGTGTTTGTGTGTCCCCGTCCGTCCGTCTGTCAGTGTGTACTTTACTGTACATGTTTTCTGTTTAACACAAATGGAGACATTGTCACTTTCATTTTCACTTACACAACAGCTGTGAGCACATGTAATTTAAACACACACTCCTTCATTGGTTCCCTGGTTTAAACTGGATCGTTCATGTTAACTTAAACAATGTTGACCTAAATCTCTGTTTCCTCCCACCTCTCCCCCCTCAAAGTAGGCTATATAAATCATGCCCTATGTTGCATTTAACCTAGAATATCCTCCTCCCAGTCCCTTCTCAAATAAATACATGTACTGAGTTTTTCTCTTCATGAAAGTGAGCTAAGACAAGCTTAGCAGAGCTAGCTTGGAGGATAAGGACACACATACATTCTAGGACTGGGAATTGCCAAGGACCTCACGAAACGATATTATCACGATACTTATGTATTGCGATTCTCATGATTCTATGTGTATTTGTGATTCGATACTGTGATTTTATTGCAATTCGATATTCCAAACATATTGCTCACAATATGTCTGCTGCAGAGGGACAAGAGAGAGCCATGAGAAAAGAAGTTCTTATCAGTCATGGAAATTAAAGTGCTGAAAACAAATTGGCTCCTTATTTAAAAAGAAGATGGAGAACAAGCTATGAAGGAAAAATACTGGAGTTTTGGTGCAGGTACAGCCAACTAGCGCAAAAATAATATTGCGATATTGTCAAAATGATACTATATATCGTCAAAAATAATATCCCGATGTTGTAACTGTATCGATTTTTTCCCCCCATCACTAATACACACACACAGGCACGTACACACGCACAAATGCACACACAAACGGAGGGAGTGGGCTGCAGTGAAGTAATGTTTAGCAGAACATTCCATTCTCGCCCCAATTCCAAACCTGGCTGCCACAAGTCTGCTCTACGCCGAGCATCTTGGGAAGTGTTCTACTCCTTGAAGATACTAGTATATCGGGTCCCTTCCAACACCACAGCTATGTGTGAAAACACACTCCTCTCCAAAAACATCCCTTACTTCCCTGTTACATCACTGTCTGTTTCTCCCCGTAGAGTTTAGTTTGTTTATTCATAATGTTCCAGTTATTCATATTCTAGCCTCCGATTTGTTTGGAGTTTTAATGCCAAATATTCGAAATAACATATACACTACTGGTCAAAAGTTTTAGAACACCTACTCATTCAAGGGTTTCTCTTTATTTTCACTATTTTCTACATTGTAGAATAATAGTGAAGACAACAAACTATGAAATAACACACGGAATCATGTAGTAACAAAAAAGTGTTAAACAAATCAAAATATATTTTATATTTGAGATTCTTCAAATAGCCACCCTTTGCCTTGATGACAGCTTTGCACACTCTTGGCATTCCCTCAACCAGCTTCACCTGGAATGCTTTTCCAACAGTCTTGAAGGAGTTCCCACATATGCTGAGCACTTGTTGGCTGCTTTTCCTTCACTCTGCGGTCCGACTCATCCCAAACCATCTCAATTTGGTTGAGGTTGGGGAGTTGTGGAGGCCAGGTCAACTGATGCAGCACTCCATTGCTCTCCTTCTTGGTAAAATAGCCCTTGCACAGCCTGGAGGTGTGTTGGGTCATTGTCCTGTTGAAAAACAAATGATAGTCCCAATAAGCCCAAAACAGATGGGATGGTCTATCGCTGCAGAATGCTGTGGTAGCCATGCTGGTTAAGTGTGCCTTGAATTCTAAATAAATCACAGACAGTGTCACCAGCAAAGCACCCTCACACCATAACACCTCCTCCTCCATGCTTCACGGTGGGAAATACACATGCAGAGATCATCCGTTCACCAACACTGTGTCTCACAAAGCCACTGCGGTTGGAACCAAAAATCTCCAATTTGGACTCCAGACCAAAGGACAAGTTTCCACCGGTCTAATGTCCATTGCTCGTGTTTCTTGGCCCAAGCAGTTCTCTTCTTATTATTGGTGTCCTTTAGTAGTGGTTTCTTTGTAGCAATTCGACCATGAAGGCCTGATTCACACAGTCCCCTCTGAAAAGTTGATGTTGAGATGTGTCTGTTACTTGAACTCTGTGAAGCATTTATTTGGGCTGCAATTTCTGAGGCTGGTAACTCTAATGAACTTATCCTCTGCAGCAGAGGTAACTCTGGGTCTTCCAATCCTGTCGTGGTCCTCATGAGAGCCAGTTTCATCATAGCGCTTGATGGTTTTTGCGACTGCACTTAAAGAAACTTTCAAAGTTCTTGAAATGTTCCGTATTGACTGACTTTCATGTCTTAAAGTAGTGATGGACTGTCGTTTCTCTTTGCTTATTTGAGCTTTTCTTGCTATAATTGTTCTTGCCATAATATGGACTTGGTATTTTACCAAATAGGGCTACCTTCTGTATATCCCCCCTACCTTGTCACAACACAACTGATTGGCTCAAACGCATTAATTAACTTTTGAGAAGGCACACCTGTTAATTGAAATGCATTCCAGGTGACTACCTCATGAAGCTGGTTGAGAGAATGCCAAGAGTGTGCAAAGCTGTCATCAAGGCAAAGGGTGGCTATTTTAAGATATCTTTTGAAAATATATTTTGATTTGTTTAACATTTTTTTGGTTTTTGGTCCATATGTGTTTTCATAGTTTTGATGTCTTCACTATTATTCTACAATGTAGAAAATAGTAAAAATAAAGGAAAACCCTTGAATGAGTAGGTGTTCTAAAACTTTTGACGGATAGTGTACGTGGCCGAAGGTTTCCAAGGATTATGAGCACATTTCACATTTCTGGGTGGATATGCAATCCTCTGTTGTGTTACGTACTTGGCCAAATGAAATCCACGGCTGTCACATTAGTATGTGTTTGTATCTGCCCTGCAGTGATGACAGGGTCTATGTGTGTGTATGTGTGTGTGCGTGCGTGTGCGTGTGTGTATTCTGAAGTGATAGGTTAATGTAGAGCTGGGACGATAAACCGAAAATGATCGATACCGATCACTTATCGCAGGCATTTTGCTGATATCGTTCATAACGATAAATAGCCTATACTAGAAAAATTTGAAGATTTAAATGAAATAAGTTTGCTAATATGGGTGATTGTTAATTGGACAATCGATGGCTACAACCATCAAACTAGTACTAGTAGTTTAAAGGTCCAATGCAGCTGTTTTCATCTCAATATCAAATAATTTTCAGGATAACAATCAAGTACCTTACTGTGATTGTTTTCCATTAAAATGGTCAATGATAATAAACAAAAATAGCTTCTTAGCAAAGAGCAATTTCCCAAGCAATAATTTTGCTAGGACTATCTGGATGTGGTCTAAGTGGGAGGGGAAAACTGACAATTACCTGTTATTGGAAGAGAGGTTTGGAACTTTCTTTCTTATTGGTCTATTAACTAATTTACTGCTTGGTGATGTCACCATGGAATGCCAAATCCTATTAAGGATTCTAATTCCTATTTCAATGGCCAAAATTCCATCCCACCAAAACAGGCTGAAATTTCAGGCGGTCTTTTCAAACAGCTCTTACACTAAAAGGGAATTATCATAATTTTCACAATTTCACAGTATTACTCCACCTCATAGTGTGGAAATATATATAAAACACAAGAAAATCAGGTTTTTGACTGGGGGGCTTTAAAGGATCATTACAAAAAAATGTGGTGCACATTAATGTTATAAACGTATCGTTCTATTTATCATTATCACATCAATTCAGGCAATTTATCGCGGTATGGATTTTTGTCCATATTGCCTATCTCTGGGTTAATGTGTGTGTTCGTATTTGTTCTGTAGGGATGGGTCATTTGCCTACGACTCTGTCCCATGGCAACAGAACACCAACCAGCCCCCAGGGTCATTGTCCGTTGTTACCACGGTGTGGGGTGTGACCAACACATCACAGAGTCAGGTGAGACACACAACACACACCCACACACACTTCAGTACACACTATTTGATGTTTTCGACACACAACACACACTCTTATACCTTTGTATTGAGTCTAGTAATTGAACTACCGAAGACAGACCCTGAATCACAAATCTCCTTAGGCACCTGTGTAGATCTGAGATGATTGGATAGGTATAAGTAATATGGTGGTAGCTCCATTTTGCCCTCTGATTGGACCTGGTGGAATCATCACCATATTGCTTTTACCTAGCCATTCCTCTCAGATTGACAAAATGTCCCAGGGACTAGAGGCTAGGGGTTTATTGGAATTTTGATGTTGGTTGAAATATGGTTTGCTGTGTGTGTATCACCAAAAGCTAGACCTATATCAAAGATCTCTTGTTGAAGTCCCACACAGTGAGTTGACATCATATAATGACATATTAGGATCTCTGTGGTTGACATAACCCTGTTTGCTGTGTCTAATCAAAAACTATATCAAGGATCAGTTGTTAGACCTTTTTTTTTTTACATATGACCTTTCTTCACCCAGGTTTTGGCCAACAGCTCCAGCCATATGAACCCAGGAGGTAACCCCATGGGCCAGGGTATGTCTGGGGGTCCGGCAGGCCTCAACTCCCCCCAGTTCCCCGGCCAGCAGCAGCAGTTCCCGACCAAGGGAGGCCAGGGTCAGGGCTACATGCAGCAGGGGATGTATGGCAGGCAAGGATATCCCGGTGGAGGGAGCTACAGCGGGAGGTAAGAGGTCATACACACACATGAATGAAGTTAAAACTGACACATTCTCTATCTCACTCTTACTCTATGCTTTTAACACATACTGTACAGTATACACAGCTCTAATTCATATTGTTGCCGTTATATAGTTACCCAGGTGGTCCTAACACTCCCCCAGGGGGGATGGGCATGCCCCAACACTCCCGCCAGCCTGGCGACTTCACCCAACCAGCAGCTGCTGCTGCTGCTGCCGCTGTTGCCGCCGCCGCTGCTACGGCAACCGCCACGGCAACCGCTACCGTGGCAGCCATGCAGCAGGAGACCCAGAACAAAGAGATGAACCAGTATGGACAGGTACGGACACATCACGGCACGTACAAACACAGTTATCATAACATGCATACAAACACACACACACACCATTGCCATAATAACTTATAATATCTTGTTTTGGGCCTGAGGAAAACCAGGTACAACTACATACATTACACACTATATACACTATATACACTAAAACCATGGAGTCAAACCTGCAGCTTCCTACTTAACTGTAACTCTTCATCCTTTCTTCCACCTTTATTTTTCCTCCAGATGTGTTCCTCCTTCCAGATGGGCCCAGGCCAGGCCTACAACAACCAGTTCATGAACCAGCCCGGCCCCAGAGGGCCCCCTGGAGGCATGAACCCAGGCAGCATGGGCCAGGCCATGAACAACCCGAGCATGGGTGGGCCTCCCATGGGCATGAACCAAACTCAAGCCCCAGGCATGGGGCCTTTTGGGGCCCATGGCCAGAGGATGCCCCAGCAGGGCTACGGAGGACCTGGTGGCCCCAGGCAGGCCATGCCTGTTCAGGGCATGAAGAGGCCCTATCCTGGAGAGGTGAGTTGGATGGTGTGTGTGTGTGTGTGTGTGTGTATTTTTCCTTTGAGTATTATATTGTCATAGTACCTCCCCACATGCAGTTCATGCGTTTCTCACAAATGTTGATAGATTAATTAAGTTGTTGATTGATTCTCTCTCTCTCTCTCTCTCTCTCTCTCTCTCTCTCTCTCTCTCTCTCTCTCTCTCTCTCTCTCTCTCTCTCTCTCTCTCTCGCTCTCTCTCTCTCTCTCTCTCTCTCTCTCTCTCTACAGCCAAACTACGGGGGTCAGCAGTATGGTCCTAACGGTCAGTTCCCTCCCCAGCAGAGTCAGTACCCTACCTCTAACCCATCCAGACCGATGCCTTCCCCAAACTACCCCGGCCAGAGGATGCCTGGGGGGCAGGGGCAAGGCCAGTACCACCCGCAAGGAATGCCCATGGGGCAGTACTATAGGGTGAGAGCTCCCTCACACTAACACTCCCTATCTACCTGTAAGCTCTAGACCTCCCCTCACAGTAACATAACCATTTTACCATTTACACCTGCTCCCATTGTACATTTAACCATTGATGTCTGTTTCATTCACAGCAAGAGCCATTCAATGGTCAGAACAGCAACTTACCTAGAGGTGGATACTCATATAGCCAAGGCAACGGGGTATGTACTCTCCTTTTTTATCCTTTGTCTAAGCAATTGAACTGCCAACAGAGTTATTTTAATTCTCTCTCTCTCATGGTTTTTCTTTAACCCGTATGTATCACTCTTCTTCCTCTCTCTCTCCCCCTCTCCTTTTTTCCCCTCCCTCCCCCTCTCTCTTTACCTCTCTCCCTCTCTGCAGGCCCCCAGGCCAGTTAACTACCCCCACTCCCCGGTGCCTGGTAACCCCACTCCCCCAATGACCCCCGGAAGCAGTATGGTCCCATACCTCTCGCCCAACCAGGATGTCAAGCCCCCGTTCCCGCCTGACATGAAACCAAATATGGCAGCGCTGCCACCTCCCAGTGAGTACTTACACTGGAGCATCCACACATGGATGCATGCATGCACGCACACATATGCACGTATGTAAGTATGTATGCATGCTCGCACACAACACACACACATACACACACACACACACACACACACAGTGGCTAGTCTACAGACAGTACAGCAGAGCTATTCCAATCCGTCAGTAACTCTTTCGATACCTTTGGCTGAAAATATAGCAATGCCTGCACAACAAAGTATTAGCAGTACATGTATGGTTTTATTTCATTTTCATGAGATACAAAGCCATTGAGACACGACTACTTCACTACATAACTACCAGGGTTGGGGTCAATTCCATTTCAATTCCAGTCAATTCAGGAAGTACACTAAAATTCCAATTCTCTGCTTTGCTTTTCAATTGGGAAAAGTTGGAATTGGAATTTGACTGGAAATTAAATGGAATTGAGCCCAACCCTGATCACTACTACATTCTGCCCTGATACAGTGCATTCGGAAAGTATTCAGACCCCTTCACTTTTTCCACATTTTATTACGTTACAGCCTTATTCTAAAATGGATTCAATAGTTTTTTCCCCTCATCAATCTACACACAATATCAAATCAAATCAAATCAAATGTTATTTGTCACATGCGCCGAATACAACAGGTGTAGACCTTACAGTGAAATGCTAATTTACAAGCCCTTAACGAACAATGCAGTTTTAAGAAATAATAAACAAATAATCAATTTTAAAAAAGTTTTTAAAAAATGTCTTAAAGTGACTATGCATAGATAATAAACAGAGAGTAGCAGCAGCGTAAAAGAGGGGTGGGGGGGCAATGCAAATAGTCTGGGTAGCCATTTGATTAGATGTTCAGGAGTCTAATGGCTTGGGGGTAGAAGCTGTTTAGAAGCCTCTTGCCGTGCGGTAGCGGTACCGGAGCGCCAAGTCTAGGTCCAAGTGGCTTCTAAATACCCAATAATGACAAAGCAAAAACTATTTTTTATACATTTTTGCAAATGTATAAAAAATTAAGTACTGAAATATCACATTTACTGTACATGGCTGTACTGTAGTTGACTCCTATAGCGTATAACCATAGGATTCTACAGCCATGTGTTAGTTAGGGTAATACCCCACAGTGATATCCCGGTGCCCCAGCCAGTTTTCTGTATGTGTGACTGTTAATAAACCAGTATACAATTCTTACCCCACTACCACAGATACAGTTAAAAGGAAAGCTGACGTCCTATCTTCCTGTCCTGTCTCTCCGCTCCCATCAGCCAATCCCAACGATGAGCTGCGGTTGACCTTTCCGGTCCGGGACGGTGTGGTGTTGGAACCTTTCCGGTTGGAACACAACCTCGCCGTCAGTAACCACGTCTACCACCTACGACCGTCGGTACACCAGACCCTCATGTGGAGGTGAGATACAGAGACAGACAGACACACAGACAGACACAGACAGACACACACACAGACACATACACCTACGACCGTCGGTACACCAGACCCTCATGTGGAGGTGAGATACAGACACAGACAGACACACAGACAGACACACACACAGACACATACACCTGCGACCGTTGCTACACCAGACCCTCATGTGGAGGTGAGATACAAAGACAGACAGACACACAGACAGACACACACACAGACACATACACCTGCGACCGTTGCTACACCAGACCCTCATGTGGAGGTGAGATACAGAGACAGACAGACACACACACAGACACATACACCTGCGACCGTTGCTACACCAGACCCTCATGTGGAGGTGAGATACAGAGACAGACAGACACACAGACAGACACACACACACAGACACATACACCTGCGACCGTTGCTACACCAGACCCTCATGTGGAGGTGAGATACAGAGACAGACAGACACACAGACAGACACACACACAGACACATACACCTGCGACCGTTCCTACACCAGACCCTCATGTGGAGGTGAGATACAGAGACATGTGGAGGTGAGATACAGAGACATGTGGAGGTGAGATACAGAGACATGTGGAGGTGAGATACAGAGACATGTGGAGGTGAGATACAGAGACATGTGGAGGTGAGATACAGAGACATGTGGAGGTGAGATACAGAGACATGTGGAGGTGAGATACAGAGACATGTGGAGGTGAGATACAGACATGTGGAGGTGAGATACAGAGATATGTGGAGGTGAGATACAGAGACATGTGGAGGTGAGACTCAAGTCTTATTCTATTTCTGTACCACCACAAAAATGTTGCCATGTTTGCATTCCATGGAAAATATTGACCAATAGCAGTCCTGATCATTTAAAGAACTTTCAACTAAGCTTATTACCAAACCCTTGACCAACTGAATAAGGTGTGCTAGTGCTGGGCTGGAACAAAACTGTGCTGTCCTGGCTGGGTGTCCCAGAGGAGCGGATTAGGAAAAACTGTTTTGTATCTGCTAAATGACTAAAATTTAAATGTAATGTATTTGACTGTATTGACCTCTGCCCTTTGCTCTTTGCCCCCTCTAGGTCAGACCTGGAGCTGCAATTCAAGTGTTACCACCATGAGGACCGACAGATGAACACCAACTGGCCCGCCTCCGTCCAGGTCAGCACACGCACGCACGCACGCACGCACGCATGCAGCATGCATACAGATACACACACACACAGTGTCACGTTCGTTGAGTACAGACTTGGACCAAGGTGCAGCATGGTATGCATACATGTTAGTTTATTGAATAAACACAGAACAAAACAACAAAAGCAACGTAACGTGAAGTTCTAAAGGCTAACATCAAACAAGCCAAACCCACAGAACCAAGATCCCACAACATAGGTAGGCAACATGGCTACCTAAGTATGATTCCCCAATCAGAGACAACGATCGACAGCTGCCTCTGATTGGGAACCACACCCGGCCAACATAGATATACAAACATAGACTGTACACCCTGACCAAACCAACAAGAAACAACAGGCATTAAAGGTCAGGGCGTGACAGTACCCCCCCAAAGGTGCGGACTCCGGCTGCAAAACCTAATTTAACAGGGGAGGGTCCGGGTGGGCATCTAGCCTCGGTGGTGGCTCCGGCTCCGGGCGTGACGTCCTCTCCCTTACTGCCTCCCCGTTGCACCCCCGGCGCGATGCTTCCCCTCTCAGTCCTCCCACGATGCACCAAGCCCTGTCTGGACCCTGGTGTGGGAGGCCCCGACCCTGGAGAGGGGCTGACGTCTTGGCCTGATCCGGCAATCCCCCCACGATGCACCAAGCCCTGTCTGGACCCTGGTGTGGGATGCCCCGACCCTGGAGAGGGGCTGACGTCTGGGCCTGGACCGGCAATCCCCCCGCGAAGCACCAAGCCCTGTCTGGACCCTGGTGTGGGAGGCCCTGACCCTGGAGAGGGGCTGACGTCTGGGCCTGGACCGGCAATCCCCCCGCGAAGCACCAAGCCCTGTCTGGACCCTGGTGTGGGAGGCCCTGACCCTGGAGAGGGGTTGACTTCTGGTTCTGGAGTGGAGCCGCTGACCGGAGCTGAACTGGACCCCGGTGGAGCGGACTGCTCTGGCTCTGGACTGGAGCAGCTGACCGGGGCTGGACTAGGCACCGGTAGAGCGGACTGCTCTGGCACTGGAGTGGAGCCGCTGACCGGAGCTGAACTGGACCCCGGTGGAGCGGACTGCTCTGGCACCGAAGTGGAGCAGCTGACCAGAGCTGGACTAGGCACCGGTAGAGCGGACTGCTCTGGCACCAGCCGTACCGGGCTGGGGACACGCACCACTGGTCTGGTGCGAGGAACAGGCATGGGCCGCACCGGGCTGGGAACACGCACCACTGGTCTGGTGCGAGGAGCAGGCACGGGCCGTGCCGGACTGGAGACACGCACCACTGGTTTGGTGCGAGGAGCAGGCACGGGGCGTACCGGGCTGGCGACACGCACCACTGGTTTAGTGCGGGGAGCAGGTACGGGCCGTACAGGACTGGATACACGCACCACTAGTTTGGTACGGGGAGCAGGTACGGGGCGTACCGGGCTGGCAACACGCACCACTGGTTTGGTGCGGGGAGCAGGTACAGGCCGTACCGGACTGGAGACACGCACCACTGGTTTGGTGCAAGGAGCAGGTACGGGCCGTGCCGGACTGGAGACACGCACCACAGGTTTGGTGCGAGGAGCAGGCACGGGCTTTACCGGTCTATGAAGGCGCATTGGCGGCACAGTGCGTAAAGCCGGCGCATAGCCTGGTGCCTGCATGGTCACACGCTCCTCAAAGCGAGTGCGGGGAGTTGGCTCTGCTAACCTCTGCTCTAAAGACTGAGCTCTCTGCTGCTGGAGGGTTAATTCCTCTCTCAGCTTCTCTTGTTGCCTGGCCAGCTCATCTCTCCGTGCAACCATTGACTCCTTCTCCCTACGGGCCTCCTGCAGGTGGTTGTCTCTTCTGTTAGAGTGCTAATCTGCAGGTCTCTCCGAGCCTCCTGCTGCTTAGCCAACCACCCTGTGTACCCCCCCAAAAAAAAATCTTGGGGCTGCCTCTCGGGCTTCCTTAGCGGTCGGGACCTTTTGAGTCGCCGTTTTATCTCCCTCGCTGCCTCCGTCTGCTCCCAAGGAAGGCGATCCATCCCTGCCTGGATCTCCTCCCACGTCCATGATCCTTTTCCGTCTAATATCTCCTCCCATGTCCATGATGTGTGCTCCTCCTGTTCACGCTGCTTGGTCCGTTGGTGGTGGGATCTTCTGTCACGTTCGTTGAGTACAGGATTGGACGAAGGTGCAGCGTGGTATGCGTACATGTTCATTTATTGAATAAACACCGAACAAAACAACAAAAGCAACGTAACGTGAAGTTCTAAAGGCTAACATCAAACAAGCCAAACCCACAGAAACAAGATCCCACAACATAGGTAGGCAACATGGCTGCCTAAGTATGATCCCCAATCAGAGACAACGATCGACAGCTGCCTCTGATTGGGAACCACACCTGGCCAACATAGATATACAAACATAGACTGTACACCCTGACCAAACCAACAAGAAACAACAGGCATTAAAGGTCAGGGCGTGACACACAGACACACTCTCCTTCCTCCTTCCAGGTCAGTGTCAACGCCACGCCCCTGACCATCGAACGGGGCGACAACAAGACGTCCCATAAACCCTTGCACCTGAAGCAAGTGTGTCAGCCCGGCAGAAACACCATCCAGATCACCGTCACCGCGTGCTGCTGTGTGAGTACACAATTCAATAGAATATGCAGATACAAGGGATATTTTAAATGTATGTAGAGGATACACTGGATGTGTTCATAATCCAGTTTTTATTTTTGTATTTTATTAATGTCTTTGTTTTATGTCTTTATGTTATTTATGTTATTTATGTCTATGTTATTTATGTCGTTATGTTATTTATGTCTTTATGTTTTTATGTTATTAATGTCTTTGTTATTTATATTATTTATGTCTTTATGTTATTAATGTCTTTATATTATTTATGTCTATGTTATTTATGTTATTTATGTCTTTATGTTTTTTATGTCTTTATGTTATTTATGTTATTTATGTCTTTATGTTATTTATGTCTTTATGTTATTTATGTCTTTATGTTTTTTATGTCTTTATGTTATTTATGTTATTTATGTCTTTATGTTATTTATGTCTTTATGTTATTTATGTCTTTATGTTATTTATGTCTTTCCCCCCTCTATGTGCAGTCGCACCTGTTTGTGCTGCAGCTGGTCCACAGGCCTTCAGTCCGCTCCGTCCTGCAAGGGCTCCTGAAGAAGAGACTCCTGCCTGCAGAACACTGCATCACCAAGAGTATGTTACTATTACTGCACTACTATACTGCAATAGTCTTTACGTGTCTGACTATAACTCTGACTCCTGCCTGCAGAACACTGCATCATCAAGAGCATGTTACCACTATTATATTGTACTATACTAATACTATACTAATATAGGCTTTACCCTATCTTACTACCTTTACATCAATCTTGAGTGCAAGAATATGCCTAACTCTAATCTAACTCTAATCTCTCTCTCTCTCTCTCTCTCTCTCTCTCTCTCTCTCCCTCCCTCTCCCTCCTCTCCCGTCCCTCCCTCCAGTTAAGAGGAACTTCAGCAGCGTTGTGGCCTCGTCGGGTAACACCAGTCTAAACGGGGAGGACGGCATTGAGCAGACCGCCATCAAAGTCTCCCTCAAATGCCCAATCACTTTCAGGCGCATCCAGCTGCCTGCCAGGGGGCATGACTGCAAACACGTACAGGTAGGATGACAAGGGGTATGTTTTCTAACTACTGTGACAGTAGGGTTGCAAAATTATACACATATTACATATATTAAACAGGGCCACACAGTAGATGGCTGGATAGGGCCACGAGTTTTCCCTGACTATGTGCCTAGACCAGGAAGAACTTGAGACCCTTATAGCACAGGTGGTTCGGTGAACTACGCTAATGTGATGAGTAACCTTGCCTGAGACCTGAAGACTCATAAGTGCTTTGTCTTCCACAGTGTTTTGATCTGGAGTCGTATCTGCAGCTGAACTGTGAGAGGGGGATGTGGAGGTGTCCTGTATGCAAGTATGTGATGACCATTTCCAAACTATGTTTTGTCAATAAAGTTATGTCTCTTTTTTGAATTAGTTAAAATAATGCCTCTCTCTTTTTCTCTGCTCACAGTAAAACTGCGTTGTTAGAGGGTCTAGAGGTGGACCAGTACATGTGGGGAATCCTCAACGCCATCCAGAAGTATGTTTATTCTTCCTTATTACTAATAATAGTATTACTCATAATTATTATTAACCTTCAGTGCTTCATGTTCTTTTCCAGTATTCCCACTATTATTTCTATAGTGTCTAATATGTAATATGGGACCATAAAAATGCCCGTCTTCATCCTGTAGTGCTTAAATGTTATTTCCACTATTCCCAATATTATTATTACCACAGTGTCTTCGTAATACTGGACTTTTCCACTTCCTCCTTCCTTTGAAATATGGGACTGTATAAAAAGGTCCCCTTCCTCTTCCCGTAGTTCGGAGTTTGAGGAGGTGAACATTGACCCATCGTGTAGCTGGCGGCCGGTGCCCATCAAATCTGACCTCCATATTAAAGAAGACCCTGATGGACCACTGGCCAAACGCTTCAAGACCATGAGCCCCTCCCAGATGACCATGCCCAATGTCATGGAGATGATCGCCCAGCTGGGCCCTGGCCCCTCCCATTACCCATCAGGCCCTGCTCAGCACGGGGGCGTCGGCACCGGGGGCATCCCAGGGGAGTACGGTGGCCCGAGAGGCCCAGGTAAAGACCAATTTCAGAATTCAGTTTTATACATTTTGAACATTTTAAATGTTGGTTATTTAGAAGACACTCTTATCCAGAGCAACTACAGTCATACTAAGGTATGTAAGACAACCTAAGAATCCCCTCCCCTTATTTATGTTTTTCTGTGCTGCTAGGCAACACTTACCACGGCCACGGGAACTTTGACTTCCCCCACGGTAACCCCTCGGGCGGGGGAGGAGGTGGTGGAGGAGGACCGAGAGGAGGAGGATCCCCCATGAGTGACTTTATCCACACCCCTCAGCTGTCCCACCCCCCAGACTTCCCCGGGGGTCTTCTATCCCAGGACAAGCCCCTCAGCCACGGCATCAACGGCCCTGTAAGTCTCCTACACCTCCACCACCAACCACCAGGGCCACTCATACCAGAGTTGCTGAAAAACCTCATAGAAAAGTAGTACACCCACACCCAAACATTTCCCAGGTGCAGGGTACAACAAATGTCATATGAAAGGAATAAAAATACTTGTTGTATATCATCTCATATAGTTTGTTGTAATGATTGTCAGGCCTGTCAAAGACCTTGTAGTTCATAAAAAGCACTGATCTCGATCAGGTTAGCTTTGGCATTGTGTTCAGCTTTTCTTAGCAGCCTTGCTCATGTCATCCTCTACATGTCAGCTCAGAGCTTTCTTTAAACACATTCTACTTCCTCGCCTTCCCTATCTCTCTCCCCCTGCGTCTCTCACTCTCTCCTTCTCTCCCTCCCTCTCTTTCTCCCCCTCCGTCTCTCTCCCTCCCTCCCTCTCTCCCTCCTCAGATGTCTCATCCTTCCAGCACTGATCAGTCCCATAATTCCATGCAACAGCAGAGCTTGCACGCACCTCCTCACCCCAACAGCCAGTCGTTACATCACGGTGGTAGCCAATCAGGGCAGTCGTTACATCACAGCGGCCAATCGTTGCAGCCCCCTCGCCAGCAGGCCCCGCCCCCCCAGCTGCAGCAAGGCCAGAACAGCCACCCGCACAGCGATATGAACTTTAACCCCTCCTCGGGCATCGAAGGTCAAATCAGTGGTGACATGCCCGAGCCCTCCCTAGATGTAAGTGTGACATCATGGTGACATCGTGCTTAGGGTGCATGTGCAAACAGGTGCAAACATCATCTAGCTAGTATTAGCATCGTCTGCTAAAGCTTCTCTCATTGCCTAGCTCTGGTTTGATGGAGCATGTCAGCTGCTATGCTAATACCTTTAGTTGTTTAAATAGAGTCTTGGATAGAAATGAGAAGTCTAATGACAATATGTCTTGCCTCTCTCCCCTTATCGCTCTCACTCTGTCTCTCTCTCTCTCTCTCCTACCTTCCCTCTCTCTCTTCCTCTCTATCCCTCCCTCCTTCCCTTTCTCTCTCTCTTTCCCCCACCTTCCCTCTCTCTCTCTCTCACTCTTCCTCCTTCCCTCCCTCATCCCTCTCTCTCTGTCTCTCTCTCTCTACAGCTGCTTCCAGAGCTGGCTAACCCAGACGAGCTCCTGTCCTATCTGGACCCTCCGGACCTCCCCTCCAACAGCAACGATGACCTCCTCTCCCTCTTCGAGAACAATTAACCCTTCGCCTCCCTCAAGCCGAACTCAAATCCTTCTCCACAGACACACACACACACCACAGGCTCTGTGTCCAACCAGCTGGACTCTCCATAGAGTCCATAGACACACCGTCATCCTCATATGGACTGGTAGCGGGGACACATCCCTAGTGCACTTACCCAATGTGTAGTGCACTTCTCTATGTGATTCAGACCCAGGGTTCAAAGTTCAAACCCCCAATCAGGTCACACCTCCTACACACCCGGGTTCACACACCGTCAGACACACACACACGCACACACACACAATGTTTTGTCAAATGTGGCATAGACGTGTAGGTGGCATGAGGTCATCTGTCAGAACATGAGATGATGATGATGATGAGGATGACAGTCTGGATGTCAGGGAGTGGACATTGTGTGTGAAAGAGACAGGAAAAGGAAATGCACTCATGTCCTCACTTCCTCACACACACTCTTCCTCATGTAAAGATTGCGGAGCTGCGAAGCTCCTCTGGCCGACAACAACACGTTGACAGCCATGTCGGCTGTCTAGTCCTTAAGTGATATTATATCGAAAGAAAACTGTGCAGCTATTAATCACGTTCTATGCGTATGACCTCACAGGCCGAACTCTCTGTGTGGGCTTTTAAGAAAAAGTGTTGTAGCATTGTTTTATCATCCTTATTTCCCCCCTTATACAAAAACAAAGAAAAAAATACAAGAATAGGAAAGAAAAGTCATATTTTTGTCCTGGCCAGTGTTTCTATCTATCCTATTTTGATGTGTGTTCTTCCAAGCCCTGACCCCCTGAGACCACAACCTTTAACCCCTGACCTTTGACCTACAGTGTGTTCTTATAACCTCTGACCCTTAGCTCACAGTGTGTGTTTCCATCGTGGTGTCAGTCAGTCAGCACTGGGTCCGTTCCATCCATTCTACTGAAGCACAACAGACGGAGCCCCACACCACATCGCAGGCAGAGCACTGAGAGGAGAGACCAAGGCCTGTGGATGAGGATTCTAACCTTCTAGCTAGCCCAACCCAGTCTATCGAAGAATCAGCACTGTTAACTATTCTGTCTGTCTATCGCCCTGTCCAATGTTGTTAAAGTTTCTCTTCCCTGATATTGCAGTACAATGCCATGTCGGGATGTGGGCTATGCAAAAAGGAGTTTTACCAATACATTTGTTTTGGGTTAGAATGATGGAGAACTGTGTGCGTGTGGGAGAGAGTGTGTGGGTGTGCATGTGTGTGGGTGTGCATGTGTGTGCAAGAGAAAGAATGAGGATGAGATCGATAGAAAAAGAGAAAAGAGAAGTAAAGACTCCCTATTTAGTCTGTTATAGGCAGACACATCTAGTGTTACAAAATATATTTGCCCCTTGTAATAGAGCCATATTAAAGTTTGCCTGTTTCTCCCTCTTTAAGGTGAGTCTTCCTCTGTTCTACAGGCCAGCAATTGCTCCTGTAACCATACTGTAAGGTTTGGCTCCACCATGTGTTAAGAAGTGCATGTGTGCCAATGGTCTCTGTTCTAGATTAGAGGGAAAGATTATTGTCTTTTTTATTTTATAGCCATTGCGTTTTTTTCATCATGATTTTATTTAAAATGTTCTTGCAAAGGAATGATTTTGGTTAATGGTAATGTATTGTCCAACTTTTTTTCCCCCATTTTGACTGTTCATTGAAAAATTGCTGTGCGTGATACATCACCAAAGTTATTCCATAGTTTGTAGGAGTTGGCTTGGCCATCTACTATAATGTAAGACATCTATGCCATCTATGCTATAAGCATACTCCTAGGGAACCCATCAAAAATAATTCTGAATAAATGTGTGGTTGCACTACATTTTCTGTCTTGTTACTGTTAAACTGTATTTTGTCATCTTTAAAAAAAAGGAAGAGCACACATGATCCCACAATGGTTTATAAAGACAATCATTTAAAATGGTTGTCATCCTGACAACATATGCTTTAAATATGTTTGCTAATGTATTGGGGAAAAGTGACTTTACCCTCCATGTTTAAGTCAAAAGTATAATTCTGACACTTGCAAATATTGTAATACCCTCTGGAATTGAATGTGAGTTCTTTTTTATTTTTGTGAACCCTCTTGTACAACACAAGATCATCATGTGTATTATTCTCATAGCATTTTTGATATTGTTCTCCTATTTTAAGTTATTATTTTGTTTATCTATTGAGTGACTTTGTGAGAATAATCATAATTTGGTTTACATCAGATCATGTAGCCTACTAAATGAAATTGAAAATTTATAGATCAATCGGTGGATATTGTTAGGACATAGGAATGATCCCCAACGCTGGTTGAATCACCTGAATACAACTGATCCTATGATCCTTTGGTCTGTCTGTCTGTCTGTCTGTCTGTCTGTTTGTTTGTTGAAGACAATGCACTGCCACAGCAAGGTATTTTGACTCCCCTGCCCTGTCTGTCTGTAGATCTGTGTAGACATGATGCTGAAGTCTGGTCTATCAACATTACTCTCTATACTCCACATAGAGGTTTGAGCCTTGTCCGAGGTTCAGGCTCCACACCCAACTGTAGCTGTACAGTCAATGGACACAAGGGGAGCGTGTTAGAGGATGCAATGTATTTTCATTTAAAGAAAATGGGAGATGGTGTGATCCCCCCGGCCCTCTCTACTCCGTTACTTAAATGCAAGAGGAGAGAAATAAAAGGGTCTGGAGGGTCTAAGGAATGCATGTACATTATGTAAATGACAAATAGAGACACATTAACTTACAGAAATGTAGACATTTTCCCCACACGGGTCAATGATGCGCATTGTGTATTTAGAATTTGTAAAGTTTGCATCCTCCTGTCAGAAGAGACTGTTGAATTGTGGGAAAAGGAGTCCGTGTTTGATTTAGTCTGCACAGTCCTCTCTCTCTGACCACATTTGTTCATTTATGTAAGATACTTTATTATCTAATTCTCAAACACGGGCCGTTGGAAAAGGAAAAAAATACACATTTGTTTCTCTTTGTGTAAAATTCAACTTCTGTGTATTTCTCTATTACCTGTGTACTTTATAAAGGTGCTACAACAACAAAATAATAAATATCATTTTGAGGTACCAATCGGGAATTGTGGGAACCATGAGTGGTTCCTAAAAATTGTTGATACAAAATTTACAGTTTGTACAATTTTGTCAAATTTACAGTTTTTACACGATTAGGCAAAAAATATTACTTCCGAGGTACAATCTGAAGTGATTGACACACCACGTGGCAGTTGTCTTTTTTGTTTTGTACATTCTGTGTACAGTCATTTCATATACTAAACTGGTCAGAAAAAAATTGTGATTTTTAGTCTTGAAAAACTGTATGTAGTTAGATGACGTGACATCCTAATATTTATCTAATAAATATGTATTCAAATCAAACTCATGCATCATGGTCTTGGTTTTCCAATAGCCTACATCTTCTATCCTCTATGTAACCTTAAGACAGTAAATGTATCCTCATCCACCAGACACAATCACAGTGGAGAATGCTAGATCATTTGTTGTTGCTTGGCTACCTGCCAAACTTGACGGTTTTTACTTTTAATCAATCTTCATTTAACACATTTTACAAACGTCTTAGTTATTTTTAAATATATGTATTTTTCCTCGCTCTACTTTTTTCATTCAACTTTTTCACCCCGGACGCTTTATCTGGACATTGTTCTACAGGACCTCCACCAGCTGAATCTAAGTAGTAACATATAATATTTAGCAGACGCTTTTATCCAAAGAGACTTACAGTCATGTGTGCATACATTTTTACGTATGGATGGTCCCGTGGATCGAACCCACTACCCTGGCGTTTCAAGCGCCATGCTCAACCAATTGAGCTAGAGAGGACCACAATAACACTATGCCATCTAATTGCAGTTGCTGAACTCATTATATACAGGAAAACTATCGCCTTATGGTGAGGATAGCCGTGCTGCAAGCCCAGCTTCAGATGCAATCGTTAGGCAAGGGCAATTTAAGTGTAGGAAAGGATGAAACAGCATCTGTGCCACCAGGAAGTACAGATAGTAGTATAAATCTCCTCGCACAGTCCCCGCAGCGGACAATTTTCTCAAGGCTTCTGGAAATAAATACTCAACCGGTGTCGCTCATTCAGCCGACATAAACTTTCAACCGGTTCTCCCCACTAAGCAACGAGTCGGAGTCAGAGGCCGAGCCTTCTCAGGTCTCTCCTCCACCCGTTACGGGGTCTGAGCCACCGAAGCCTCCCACCATTAGCTCTGACAAATTGAAAACTCTAGTCATTGGCGACTCCATTACCCGCAATATTAGACTTAAAAATAATCATCCAGCGATCATACACCGTTTACCAGGGGGCAGGGCTACCGACGTAAAGGCTAATCTGAAGATGGTGCTGGCTAAGGCTAAAACTGGCGAGTGTAGAGTATTGGGATATTGTTATCCACGTCGGCGCCAACGACGTTAGGATGAAACAGTCAGAGGTCACCAAGAGCAACATAGCTTCAGCGTGTA